CAGCTAGGTTGGAAAAGGCCTTTAAGATCATCAAGTCCAACCATTGCCCCAGGACTGACAAGTCCACCACTAAACCTTATCACTGAGGGCCTCATGCACAAGATTTTTGAACAGTCACAGGAATGGTGATTCCACCACTTCTCTGGGCAGCCTGTTCCAATGCCTGATCACCCTCTCGATGAAGAGATTTTTCCTAATATCCAATCTAAACCTCCCCAGTGCAGCTTGAGGCTGTTACCTCTTGTCCTGTCACTTGTTATGTGGGAGAAGAGGCCAACCCCACCTCACTTCAACCTCCTTCCAGGTAGTTGTAGAGAGTGATAAGGTCCCTCCTGAGCCTTCTCTTCTCCAGACTAAGCCATTCCAGTTTCCTTAGTCATTCCTCATATGACTTATTCTCCAGACCCTTCGCCAGCTTCATTGCCCTTCTCTGGACCCACTCCAGCACCTCAATGTCTTTCTTGTAGCAAGGGGCTCAGAACTGAACACAGCATTTGGAGTGTGGCCTCATCACTGCCGAGTACAGGAGGATGTTGTCTGTGCTATTGACACCAACTTACTAGTTTCTTCTTAAGCCTTTCTTGTAGGTCAAACTTTACTATTTTGGGTTTCATATTGCTGATCCATATACTGCAGAAGAGACTGGAGGTAGAGTTATTCTGTCCAAATTTAGATATCTACAATGTAGATGTCAACATATGAGCTGGCTGTTAAAAATTCTTTTGTGCTCACAGGAGAGAAGTAGAAAATTTAAAGTAGTCAGCTAAAACAGGTCAGACAAACTGTTTTCTTCCTATGTTTACATCCTTGCATTGACTACATGAAAGGCGACTTTAGACGGAAGTCATGTGTCTTCTAGGTTTCTAACATTAAGTGACACATCACTCAAGGGTTTCTTCCCCAGCTATGCTTATTTCTTGCTAGCAGGTCTCAGTTGATATGAGGAAGGTTCACCATGACCTTTAATATAAATTATGAAGCTGGCATACTACTAGTTTTAGGAGGGAAATAATAAAATGCACTGGATTTCACACCTTGTATTGAAAGATCAAAGACAGTAAATAGAGTATCAATTACATAATTACCTCTTCATATATAAACCAAAGATGTCATTCTAGCAAAATTTGTGCCATAAACAGCTGTGGAGTTCTTGTCTCTGAGGAGAACTTGGAAATGTCAAGGGAGTGATCTGTGAGCCAGACTGACTGGTGATAGCTGGAGCATTCTCCTTGGCATCTCCTTTCTTTGTCACCCCATTATTATCCACCCATGTTTATTCTGCATTGGGAAATATTCTTCATGTCACTATGAAGTACTGGGATACTCTGCATGGAGTGGGTGACTTTGGTGCAAGGTACACTTTCAGACTGCAAAAGCTCAATTGCTCCTGCATGTTGTCAGAAGCTTTCAGATTTCCACATTTGTGTAGTAGCTTGGCGATGGTGCAGGAGAAGGATGTGGTGGGAGCCCTGACAAGACACTGAATTAAGATTAATTAAGTAATGAAATCACATTTGTTCACCACTGGACTAAGCCGTTGTGGGTCATCTTTGAAATTTATTGCTTTCCTTTCAGACCAGTGGCACACATGCCAGTGGACAAGAAGCCTAGCAGATCAGGTTATTTCTTTCTTTTGAGTGAGGTAACAACTCAATAATAATGACCCATTATTTGATATGGGTAAGTTTGATTCTTTGATGCCTGCCTGGGAGTAGGTACATTCTCCTTGTAAAACCGCAAGCTTTTCCTGGTTACTGACATTGTATTGTGCATCTGGCAGTTGTGGACTTCTCACAGTGCAATTCTCCTCACCAGCCTTTAGGCTTCTGTAATGTAGTCCACATATGAGCTAAGCTCCAGATATTTTTTTTTAAGTGGGGGAAAGAAATGGGCACTTACAGCAAAACATGTTTTGCTGGAGTTTTTCCAACCTGCCCTTGAAGTGCCTATTTGAAGTAACACAAGGGGTCTGCTATGGCACTGAAAGTGTCTGTGGTGGACAAATGAGTCCTCCTACATAGGTGATGAATTACTTTCTTAAGTCATTAGCTTACCAAAATGGGTAATTTTTATTTTTCTTTATATTGCAGTTATGCTTGAAATAATTCCCTGAAGCTCATTCCATTTTAGTAACCATCAACTGATTTTCAGATTTCCAGACACTTCAACAGCTTTCCTGTTTTACCAGTGGTAGTTGAAGACTTCTTTATATTGACGGACTGTATATGCATAAGTGAAAGATGCAACCCCCATGCTATTGGCTCTTCTGACTTTACTAATTTTAATTACAGTAGCAGATGAAGATAAAAAAAAAGTATAAAGAATCAGTATCTCTAATTTACTAATGGGATTACAGAATTTGGCTACCAAATTCTACCCTATTGCATTTGGTACGCAGACACTATTTGGCTACCATTGACATCAGAAGACAATATATAATTCAAACTTTCATTCCAAATTCTATATTCATATATTTATATCTTTCCCATGAATGGAAATGAAAATGCTTTATAAAACTTCCCTGTATTTTTAGAAAAGTTAATTTTTCTCGTAAAACTTAGCTGATAGTCCCTGTTTGTGCCTTTTCTTTGTAATAGGTGGACTCCGCACCTACGTATATCATACATGCTGGGAGCTGCTAAACAATATATACAGGTTCTGTTGCAGGTCCAGGGTAGAAGTTCACAGAACTGGTAGCTGTTACTGCCTAATAAACACTTGAGTCCCTGTGGATGATATGAAGGCCTCAGCCCAGTTTTTATGCAAGTTTCTATGATTACCTTGAAAGCAAAAATGAAGTTGATTCTTTTGCTTTCTCTGCAAAATGTGAAAGAAAAGCAAGGAAATGGTTTGCAGATGTTGATGTTATCTCTTTAGAAGTTCCTTTGAAACTAAGATAAAACATAAAACATCCACTCTCCACTTTTCAAGCCCAGTTAATGCCAGGTTAAAGTAAAACTGGGTCTTCGAATATTGGGAAGAGTGTATTCTGAAAGTTAACACCTTCTTGCAGGCTGTTTATCTGCTTAGTCAGTCAGTCATCTCCCTCTCTCCTTTTGTATTTACATCATATTTCTGTTGTATTACAGTAGCAGAAACCAAGGATAGAATTCAATCCACACCACTCTCTGGCCTTTTTGTAATGGCCTGCACACAGGAGTGCAAATGATCAAGAAAAAAATTTAAATCCAATGTCTGCTAATGCATCTGTCTGGTTTTCTGCTGCTTCTGTTAATGGAGTGACTTTGTTTTTCCAGCTCCTCACTGCTGAATGTCACCCACAGATATTTGCTGTCCTCCTCAGCTGAGATCTTATCAGGCCTTCATTATTTGATAAACCATCAGAAATACAGTTAAGTAATTAAATTCAGTACCAGAGCAGAGCACGAGTGACTGATCGAGTGAGGATGGCAGAAAGCAGATCTGTTTAGAGGGAATTTTATGAATCATTGTTCTCTGTTTAGTCAGGGTCTGGATAGAGAAGACCAAAAAAAAAAAAAAATAGAGCTTAATTAACCTATTTTATTTCTTATTTTTTCCGAATACTGATGTTTTGGCAGTATGTCACAGTCAGTATAAAAATTGAGTGTCCCCTGATCATAAAAGTTTATTTGCATTTGCCTTTGTCATTTCTTTATTTACTTTCTGTCTTTGGTCTGTTTTCTCATTTGTTGTATTTTCTCACATTCCTTCTGTTATTTTAAATGTTTTTCCAATACACCCTAGCTGTATTCTCTCTCTGTTTGTGTCCTGTATCCCTGACTTGTTGCTATCTATCATGACTTTATTTTCTTCTCCAAATTTTTTCTTATCTGCTTAAATTTTTCTGTAGTTGTGAAGATGAATGTCGGTTGTGTTTATGCCCATGGAGGTGATAGGTGGTGGCATGTAGGAAATCTACATCAGACAAGAAGATTTTAAAAGGGGCCTTAGTATTCAAAGGCTTCATTTGGAAATAAAACAGATGAGAGAGAGTTCTTTGGCTCTGAAACAAGCTGGTGTGGCACAGCTCATGCCCATGTGGCTAAACTCTCACACCTTCCTAAGTAGAAATGTTGCACCTAAGTTGCCATAGACATTGCCAAAGGACCTCTGGCTGAGCTTTTCTTGGACAAATTAAGTCTATAGGGTAGAAATACACTTGAAGGTGTGTGGTCTGCTAACCATTGTTGGATGCCAGTTGCCCACCATGCTACTCTGTCAATCTCCTCCACTAGACAGGTGAGAGAAAATTTTCTTGAATGAAAAAATGTTTAATTAATTATGGTTTGGAGTGAGTGGGATTTCTTATACACAGTGTTGCGGCAGGAGTTGCTAGGACAGAGCTAATGCCTGCTATGCAATTCTGTTGGTCCTAACTACCTGTCTAGCTCCTTGGCAAAAACCAAGTGTTCGAAGTCAAATATTCATGACACTGTCATCCGTATAAGTCAGTCCTGTCTTACAGATGAATCTTTAGACTTCCAATACAGTTCATTCCCTTGTAACTCTATTGCTAGGTTCTCAAAAAGACGTCAGATTATTAACAACTCTGGTCATGGATTTTGTTACCTGGACAAGTGATCTCTGTGAGTAAATCATCGTGTCATGCAGTCTCCTAAAAAGGCCCCAGACAGCTGTTCTTTTGAGATATTACTGAAAATATTGAAGGGCAAGTCATGACTTCAGAAATGAAGCAGACAGTTAGGTTCTTTTTCTGGTTCAAAATCATCCATCCATCCTACCTTTTCCTTTGGGTACAATTTACGTCTTTGCAGCTACAGAACCTGTTTCAGTAGTTTCTATGATACAAGTAACAGATCATAAAACATATCCTTTGGCTTTAAATTAAGTATCAAAACCATCTGTTGATAGTTGCAGTCCACACAAATATGGTTACAAGTATGGTTGAACTTTATTACGTACAACTCACAGTTCAAGTGTTGAGTTCTCTGTTCACTGTCCATACCTTTTTCATTCTCTTCATGTTTATTTATATTAATTTTCCTCTTTCACTGTAGAGATCTCAGCCTTGACCTGAAGACCTTGGTGAAAAATTCTGCAGAGAGGCTGCTTCAGCTGGAATAATAGTGTTAACAACCAAAACTTGACTGAAGTTCAAAATTAAGAGAGAAGATGGCCATCAACTGGAAGATCTGCTTCTTCTTTCTCGCACTGCTTCCCATGGTAAGAAAAAGTGTTTTTATTTACATTGTACTCATATAAATGCATGTTCTCGAGTCCAGCACTTGCTAAGAGTGAAGGGCCTGTTACTGATCTTTTTTACTTAATCCTCCTTTGGTATGCAATAGAACTGTGATCACTGCTCATCCTATAGAAGGGCAAGTCCATTCCTTGAGGGGATTTGTTCACTATTTGATATTGAATAGAAAATAAAATAAAATTAAAAATAATAAAATAAAATTTAAAATTAAAATAATACGTTAGACTAGACTAGACTAAAGTAGAATAGAATAGAGATTGAAAAAATGTAGGGCTCTTGCTTCAAATCCATTGGCTTAGTTTTTGTTGGGGATTTTTTCCAGGAAGATGGGATAAAATTAGAGAGAAAATTTTTATCAGCTCAGTGAAACATGAGACTCAAGATATTTCAGCCAGTGTTTTTGAATGCCTCTGATTTCAGAGGACCAATTTTAATAAACTGTGTAAGTGGGCCTCTAAATACACAGGCACTCAAACTCTTCTATCACTTTTCTGAAGATTGTCAGATCTTCATGAAGATTACAGGGGTTTATTTTCATCATAAGCCTTTACTTACTAAGCAACATGCTCTCCCATGAACCACTCTGTCTTAACACATCTGGAGATTGTAACTATGCCTGCCTGTTGTCCCCCTGAGCAGTGTGGCTCTATGTAGCCTCATGTAACAGCCATAGACCTTTGAAGAAAACATGCTTTTTCGCTTTATAACTGTGAGGAACAATACACAACCCCTATAATAAACTCATCTCGCATTTCAACTCAGTTCTTTGCTAGGCCATTGGTCACAACTGTGTTTTTCATCACTTCTCAAGAAGCATTGCACAAAGGACAAAGGGATACCATGACAAATAGCACTATTATTTAAAACCTCTACCTCATTCTCACGAATTGCTATAATTTCCATGCAAATGCTTTACAGTTGCTTAATATAGAGATTTCTCATGTTGCTGCACTTTAATAGCTAGGTATTTAAAAAGAATTCTTCACATTTGTTTTGTTTTTACTTTTAATTAAGAACTATTTAATACGGTAGTGATGTGACTAGAGTATCTTTCAGCAGTTTTTACATAGTTTTTTGCTTATGAGTATTGGTTGTGTGACCTGTCTTTTACAGTGCATAGCAGTCAGCATACAGGGCTTGGCTTTATTTTGGCAAAAAAATACAAATTCTTTCTTCTTAGGTTGTATTTAGAAACCACTTTAATTAACTGCATATCTTAAATGTAGCATTATTCAGCTGAATTCTGTAGAGTAGGATTGAAACTGGTAGTATACTTCTGTTCATCCAAATAATACAGTCCCTTACGATATATATTATCTGTTCTTTAAATTTCTTTCTAATGCATGACTCTTCTGAGTATTGCCTAGTTTTCCTGGTTGGCTAGTAGGTATTAGTTATTAGCTAAGTGAATCTGTTTAATTTTTATACTGTATCTCTGAAATACACATTTACACTAGACTTCCTCTAAGCTAATGTGGAGGGGAAAAAGCCCCACATTTCATCTGCTTTGGATGCTTATGTTAGCATAAGATTCCTATAAAAGGAGTTTATCTGAAATTCAGATGCTAGTTTTTGGACATATATTGGATTACCTAAACACACCTTGTAACTTCTGGTTTGAGACCCAGAAATGACAACCATCATGTCTCAGTCTCTTCGAAACTCCCATTTTACAGCTAAGCCTAAAACAGCCTCAGTGTTTCCTAATCTGTGTCAGTGAGAAGCACCCTATACCTGGTGAAACTGGAAAGCCTGTCAGTAGACCTGCTGAATTCCTGGGTATGCAGCATAATTTTCAGACTGGAAATAAAGTAAATGGTCATATGAATGGAAAGGCAAAGGACTTTTTTTTTTTAATGACCAATGATCTTGGATGTTTCAAGACTCTCGGTGTTCAGCTTGAGACAGACAAAAGATGTCTTCTTATTTAGAGGTGAACAATTTTTAATTAAGCAAAATAGATGTGGTTGAACGTATCTCTTGAGCTTTCAGATGGATGACCTTCCTGGCAAAATGTAAAAGGACAAGAAGTTTCCAGTTCCTAGCATTCCAGCACAAAACTGTGATCGCTGAGCTGGATAATTAGTGATCAGCTCCAGCTTTTGGAAAGAACAGCTCTCTAATGAAATACTGTGAAGCAAACCAGAGCTAATAATGTCAAATACGCTTTTGTATATGCTGTTTCTGCAGTGTTTATGATCTTGTGTAAAAGTGCCAGGTTTTATTATAATCTCTTGCAGGAACCCAGGGACTAAAGTAAATGATTTTACGCACATAAACTTGTGTATTTGCACACACACTTTGGCCAGTGAAGAGATTTATGCCTTTGACAGAACTTGTACTATAATTTGTGTATTTATTCCTTATTACATCTCTAAGTTTCTTTTCATAGACCAGAGTTCAGGAATGATATAATGTTATTTATGGTTCTTTCCTTGCAGGGACTCTTTTTGTAATGCATGTGGTAACACGTTTTCTCTCCACTGGTTCACACACTTTCTTTTTCAAACCATCTCTAATGTGCTGTACTGGTGTCCTCAAACTGGTACTTTTCTGTCACACAGATATTCAGATTTTCTACCAAGGGAGTGGATGTGACTTTTAAAAAATATAGAGTAAATTTGAATGTCATCCTATGCTCCCAAAAGTTCCTGAAAAAAAAAAGAAAAATCTTCTTTTACATTGCTTTTCTCTAAACACATCTGGTACTGTTCAAGAAATCTCCTGTTACTCTCAAGGTGAGATCCTGTTCTCACCAGTTGGGATTGATCCCCATTTGTTGCCCATGTCTTCATCCTTCATAGTGTGGCTCCTGAACCTGTACAGCTGCTTGGATGTGTAGTTTTTGGCTTCACGGATAGAATGAGCCACATTCCATTTTACACACAGAAAACCACAAAGTGCCCAGGCTAGTGTCTGCATTCATAAACAGATAAAGAAAAGGCAAAAAAAGGACAAAGTGTTTTAATGAAAAATTCTAGGTGGCTTCAACTACAGACAGACCAGACAACAAGAAAATAATATACTAAGATACATTTAGAAATCGGCACATTAAACCAGTTCTAATTGTCAGGGACTAGGGTGGTTAGATTTTTCATGTGTTTAACAAGTTATTCTGTATTTGCTTATCACAAAGGTATTCTACCTTCTTATTAATCACTTGGAACTGAAGGTAGTATCTACAAACATGTTACCTTCAATACATTTTAGAGGATTTCTTGAGCTTTGTTTTTTCCCCATTTTAAATGCTTTCCTAGCTTGAAATGTCTATGTTGCTATTTTAGCTGGTTTTAATCCTTTTTTTTTTTTAGCTAGCCCATTTCTTTTCAGTCACTTTCATTTTTTGTTTTGTCTGAATATCTCCTCTTTCTGTTGGCACATTAGTTTTCTTCATCCTACTTATTTTTTGCTTCTAAATTCACTTTCACTGCCATTTTGATTGATTTCTCATTCCATTCACCTGTGATAGCAGTGGGCTTGTTTTTTATTATTGGAAGTATTAACAAGAGTGATCATAAAATTATTGAGGATACGATAGGATCCTAAATCATCATTCTTCTGTCTGGTTCTAAACGAATTTGAGAAACAATGGAATTCATGACTCACAAAGTTGGCTTAGTATATGAACTGAATTTTAAATGTAACTGCAATGCAGGTGTTCTAAGTGTCTGTAATAATTCAATCAGATGTACTACTTCAGCTAATATTTGGAATTCCTTGTTGTGGCATTTTTAATATTGCTAAGATTAAATGCTTAAAATGGTATTATTCATAGCATTTTATTAGCTGGCAAACATCTTAATTTACCTCCTTAAAAAAAACAATACAAAGCAAAAAGAAATTAAAAAGAAAGGTGTAAGTGATACCTCTTGTATACCAGCTTTGAAGTACAATCACCATATGAGGGTCAGATGGGAAAATACAGATTTGGATGAACAAACAGCATCTTACAGATCAGAGAATGAAATCTTGATCTGATTGCGTTTAATCAGTTCATAAATAGGTGAAGACAGAAGCTAGATCTGTTTGTTAGACCCTGTTTACTGAGGGGATAAAATTTCTCAAAGTTTTAAAGGGTGTGTATAGTCTACAGAGCAGAGACCTGTCTGTATTCTCCATTATTCATCTGTAGCAGTTGCTTCCAGCCTGCCAGGCTATGTTCAGATAGGATCATTTATATTTCAGTGTCTGTCATTTTTTAAAGATGAGAGACAGCATATTCAGACACACTATCCTACCAGTTTCTCTCCAGCCCTGCTATGTTTGTTAGAGCATCCATTTTCTGCTGCAGCCCGAATGTGAGTTTCCTGAGGCATGAATATAAGATGGTTGTATTGGTCCTTACTCTTTAATCAAACTATTTTTTTTTCATGCAGGACTTAATAAGACAGCTTTTAATTACTTTATGTGCCTTATGATTTATAATGTCTCATAGCCCTAGTCAAATTCTCTTTAGAATTGCTGCTGTCTTTATCATAATGAACACCTACATGGGATTTCCCTATTACGTAATGAAAATTCAGATATGTACACATATAGGTAAGGAACTGCTGGGAATGTTCTCCAGAGGAGTAAAAACTCAGCTAGCCAAGACATTACTGCTGCTATACGTTTTCCTTTTTAATATAAGGAGATAGTGCTGGGGGCAATCAGCACAACATAACAACCTCAGAACACCTTATGACTTTTTTAAAGAAGAAAAAAAAGTCTCAGGTTGTATAAGGTAAGAAAAGGGGGTAAGAGAAGGTTCAGAATTTCTGTATGGTGTAACACAAAAAAAATCTGAGAAAATCAGTGTTACAAAATACAAAAAGTGCCCTTGATACCAACCACCTTTCAGAGACACAAAAATTAAAATCCTGGTTTCAAGATGGTCCTTAGCCTGTCAGGTAGGTGGGACAGGTACTTACAGAGAGTGACAGAATGATGGAAAACTCAGGGTGATATCTCCTCCTGAGATAAC